TTCCAGCGTTCTTGGATGCCCAACTTGAAGACCAATGTCAGTAGGCTAACTAAAATTATCCAGGAACTCAGAAATAACGATTTTGCCAGCAAGATTCGCTCTCTCCCAGATTGTGCAAAGCCATTTTGGTAGATGACCAAAATTTTGAAAAATAAATCGAGGTCGATCCCTCCCAACACAATAAATACTTTATCTTCCGCTATCCAAAATGCTTCCTCCATCAGAACTGGAGCCGCTTCCAGTGGTTTCATTGTATGGCAGTTACGCCAACGATGGTCAGAACGCTTCCATTGCAGCAATGGACGCAAAATGTGGTCAGCACTCACACACTCATCACTAAACGGTTGCTTTCCAAAGTCTACGACGCATCGACCGAAAGAACTGCTGATGAAGAACAACGAAGAGGACCACACAATGGTTGCTGCCGAGAAAACAGACGATCGCGTGGCACACATCGAGAGTGGCCTGCTTTTGTTGACAGCCGAGTGGACACTGAGTTAAATCAGTTTGCCAAACTAAACTAAAGATGAAGATCCTAGAGGCTAATCAATTAACCAATTAACTACCATAATCAAATTAAAATAATTCATTTGTTGGACTTTCACCGTAATATTACTTTGTAAATAGTGGGCACCTCCCAAGTAACAATTTTGGTTTTATGAGGGTTCTGTAGACCATGATTTACACTTGTAGCATGCTTTAAAACCTCGATAAAGCTTTCAATGTTACTTGGGCTGTCAAGCACGTTGACATCATTACTGGATCCAGGCATTCCAAACAAAGCGTGCCATTCCAAAGAGATTCCTGAGATGCAACCACCTCAAGAATAATTGTGGGTTTTTTTTTTCTTTTCCCTTATGCTGCCCCGCCCAGGCTGTCGGACAAGACAAGCGTAACTATTCAAATCGACGTACCTGCTTTTGTAAACAATCACTTCAATCGACGATTTGGCTTAACAGCTAACTCGCTGGTGTTGTTAGTTTCTGTGAGTGAGCTAGCAGTTGCCACAAATCGTTGATTGAAGTGATTGTTTACAAAATCAGATACGTCGATTTGGATAGTTAGGCTTGAAAGTCTTCCCTTGCCAATGGCAACAATCAACTGACCCAAGCATCCCAGGGAAACCCCTCTCTGCCCCAATTTTTAACAAGCGTTTCACATCGCAGCTTGTTGGAGCGCTTAAGTATTTTTTGCTGAAGATTTTATAGACAGTGCACTGCAGTGTAGCAAAACTCAACGAGGCATTTTCGGGACGGCGATTCCCCCTTTCGGGCGTATTCGTCCGATGGTGAACCATATGCCAATGTTTCGTACTCAAACGAAAACGGCGCCGGAATTGCTCGTCCATATACACAGGTGATTCCGAAAACCTATCGTCATGAAGCAACTAACTCTGCTAACTTATCTGTTTAAGTTCGGTCGCTTGCCTACCTGGGAACCACCCCGTCCTCTTGCGATGTTTGACGGCATTCCGTACGAATAAAAAACTACAAGGGACAGCCCTATGGAGTTGTACGCAATGGTGACGTAGGACTACGTGGTCCTATATAATAAATCTTATTTGTTAACTGTAGCAGGAGCTTGTGTTTTGTGTAGGAATAGGAATTTGAGCGGCTTTCTCGCTGTTTATACTCTTTAGTATGACGTGCTTGACATAGATGAACCACAGCGACTCACTAAAAGCTACTGATTCCAATCAATAGCGGTGCGGCTTCTTCCTCCTTCTATGGATGCTCATGTGGGCTGCAGCTCGCTGCTTGCAGGCAGCCTTTCGTTGTATTCTGGAGAACACCAAAACTCACCACGCACTGATTGAATAAACACCGTTTGGTGAGACCGGATGGAATTCAAGTTTGAAATCTGTGTTAGGGAAGTCGCTTTTCGCAGGCAATCGGTGATATCAATAGTTGCACATTCGTGCAATTTTCAATAGCGACATTTTGAAAACTGATAAAGTCTTAATTTAAACAGATTGTAGAAAAAATTCCTATCGATTGTGTGTTGAGAATTAAAAATCATCATCTCTGAATCAAAATCAGTACACTTTTATGCCGCGGACAACTTTGGTTTTTGAAATTGCACCGCCCATGTTACCTTAAGGTACATGGTATGTTAGATTTAAACATATCTAGAAAGAGCTGGAATTAGGGCGAAACAGCTTTTGTAAACAATGACTTCTCTAGATGATTTTTTGGAATTCAAGGCACGCCCAGGCAAACCAACATTACCGTCGGGTAGGGAAAGTCTTACCCTACCTGATGGTGATGTTGATTTGCGTGGGCAAGTCTTGACGTTCAAGACATCATCGAAAGAAGTCATTGTTTACAAAAGCTGTATCGCCCTAGTTCCATCTCTATCTTGATATGGGAACTGACATCCGATTGATGACCTTGACAAATGTCCAAAAAATACTCGTTTACAAATGTATGGTGGTCTGAAAAGGACCGTTTTGTCGTGATGGTTGAGTAATACTGAGTTATTAGGGTGTTAAATACAGATGAGGCTGGTGAGCTGTATGTTGTTTGGAATAAGGGTGACGCACTTGGCATAGATGGCCCACAGCAACTCACGAAGAACTACAGACTCCAACCAATAGCAATGCGGCTCCTTCCTCCTTTTATAGATGCTCATGTAGGCTGCAGCTCGCTGCTTGCAGGCAGCATTTCGTTGTGTTCTGGAGAACAATGTTCAACGTCATGTGCCGAAAGCACTGCTGCTGATTATGATGATGATGCCAGTGATTGGAACTAAATCCGATCAGCGGTTGAGGCCAGCCTTGATATCTATCTGCTGGCGGGAAGCCTTTCGGGGAGAACACCACCACTCACACCACGGTGATTGAACAAACACCACCGGATGCAACTCAACTTTGAAATCTGTGTTAGGGAAATCGCTTTACACAGGAAATCGGTGATGATTTTAACTATCATAGCAACATCGTGACATTTTGAAAGATGATAAAATCTTAAATTTAACAGATGCGTAGAAATATTTCTGATCGATTGGTGATAAAATTATTGAAATTGGTCCAGGGGCAGCTGAGTTATTAACGTTCCAAATCTTTCATCATTTTGTTACATATTCCATTTTCAGTTTTCACACAATGTACCCCCATATAGAAATCACAGACGTAGTCCTACGTCAAAAGCATTTGCGGCAACATCTAATCTGCTTCATCGCTGAATTCGGAAAAGTAATCCAGTATCTGCTCAATGTTCACCATTTCTCACTTTATTAATTTTCGAGGTCAATCAAAACAACAGTGCTTTTTTACTGTTCTTAAACCGATAATAGCGACGACTGGTGCGAATTTCAAAAGTCAAATTTCCAACCCATGATAGTCACTATCAGTGCGTGGATGAGTTGTCAGCTAAAATAGCAGCTTTGAATAGCAACGCACTGGTGGGGGTGCTCTAGGGGTAGGTCACACCAATCTTGGGTCATCTTTTTTGTCGTTGTGCTGCAGGTGTGCCGCAGGTGTGCCGATTTTGCTGGTCATAGAGCAAGCTGTGATTTTTTGCTATATACCCATCCCGACAAACCCGGTATTTCGAACATCAAAAAAGTTTTGGTTTAAAATCGCGGGTGTGTGAATTCTTTGTGTTTTGTATTCATAGGATAATAAAAGTCATGTGTTTTAGGGTTTTATATTGCCCTCAAAGGCAGAACAGTAGCCTAGCCTTTCGTGATGTGAAAAACAACGGTCTATCAATGGCCGGAAAGAGTTGGAACCGGTGGGGAACATTGTTGAAGACCGACTATAGAGGATGATGAATATGACTTCTGTAGTTTGTTTTGTGTGAGTTGCAGCATTATTTGAATAAAGGGTACTAATGGGGTCGGATTAATTGCCTCTTTCTCTTGAGCCCACTCTAGAACCGAGAAGTGAACAGCTGGTCTGAGTTTCTCATTAGAGTATGTACATTAGGGTGTCCAAAAATTGCACTATGTATGGAAATCTAGGAGCTCACGCTCCAAATGATAAACTATTCATATGCTAATACATATTGTACTAAGATAAAGCTGCATGAATTTAAGTGAACTAGTGATTAAGATAATCTATGAAGCAAAAACGGACGACAAATAAATAAATAAACTTCAAACTTTTCATGTTAACTTCCTAAGAATAAAAACCAATTTGGATCAATCGACAGTATTAAGCTGACCGATGATCCAAATTTAAAGCAAACATGCAGATCAGCAAAGCTAATCACACCCCAGCGATCACTACAGCAATGATTGCAGTGTATCGTGTCGGATAAAAGTGCCTCCATCGAAATACTACCGATGGCTCGTGCCACACTCAACACATGAACTTGGCGATCGCAATTGATCGTGATTGAACAGCTTGCATCGAAGACCTCTCGAAGCAGAAATACATACCAACTACCGAAAAACCACTCTCTGTATCGCTCAATGATGAGCAAATCACCCAGCAAAAAGGCACCCAAATTTACCTGTGATTACGTACAATGTTTTCACACTCAGACCAGCACGAGAAGAGCAGCTCGGTGGTAGCTTTTTGATTCAGCGTTTTTGGCCGAACTATCATTATCTAAAAGCGTAAATGTGTACCAACTCACTCAAGGTTCGAGACTTACATCGATTGCTGCCCGACGATGGCTGGAGGACGCGGGGGTTAGTCATTTTTTTTATCTTCGGCTTTAAATGCTCATACTTCGCCTGTGCCAGCGAGGTAATTGTTTTCTCGTTTGATGCTGCTGAAAAATGGTAGTCCGTCGGTCGGTCGATCGTGGCTTGCGCCTGCCATACGCAAATCAGTGATCGATGAATTTGATCAACGCTGATCGCACGCCTAAGATGAAAGCTATCGAAAATGCGTATACCAACCAACCAACCAAACCGAGATTTGGAACGACCGAGTAGCTGTAATTATACTGCGTGGATTGTTTTGCTTACGGCTTGGGCTTTCGAAAATTTTACCTGAATAAATCCAACCGCTTTTGTTCGTTTAAACCAACCCAAAAACGGATTGTTTTATTATTTTTTTTTTTTTTGCTCATCTCTGAACGTTCTTTCAATAGAACCCAACTTTGCGGACAAATCGCCTCAAGCTTAAATACGCCACAAAGTGAACGACTAAAATCTCCCCTGCCATCACCAGATAGTTAAAGTAAACCGTATCGAGCGTCGTGCCGTAGCCATAATCCAGCAGCACAGCTTCACCATCCGGCAGGCAGGTAGTGTTCCGTCCCTCGTCACAGGTGATATTCTGCACGTCATGCCAGTAGTAGATGGAAACTCCCTCGGATGCGAAGAAGAAAAACGACAGGTACTTGCTGATGGGAAACGCTCGCACATTCAAATACAGACCGCCCAACAGGTTGTACAGCAGGAAGATCAGATTGGCGTACTCGATCGACATTTCCAGCGAGCCGGTGATGCACGTGAACAGGTATCCTGGAAGGAGGATGGATTTTTATGGATAAGGACGAGTTTAGCACTTTTTTCAACTTTCATGTACCTGATATAGGTACATATACTAATCTAGTGAAAAACTACCGATGATCGTCAACTTAAAGGCTGTTCGCGATGAAATCCGGACACCCATGAATCGGAATTCCAAGAATGAGCACAATATTTGTTAGTGATGGTAATTTTTATTTCACTTATTAGTACATCAACATTAAAAATGAATCGATTTTATAGTCATCAATGAGAATCCAAGCTGAATTTGCGAATTTTTGACTTCACATCAGCCATCAATGTTTGGGCCGACCTTTTTGCTACTTTATTTGCTGATTTATTCCACACTTTTCGAAAATCTTCTATATTTTAAGCTTGTTGTTTAGATTTGGACAGTTCATGTTTTATCAGAGCCCAATATTTTTCCATGGGACGCAGCACTAGGCAGTTGGGAAGATTGGCCTCTTGCGGTACATAATGTACGTTATATTAATCATACCAAAATAAAACATCTTTAGCGTAATGGCATGATGCCAAATCTGGCCAAAACAGCGGCGACGAATCGTGAGACTTTAGAAATGGCAATAGTCACTGTTCCGGTTGTAACAAAACTTTTTTCCACCACAGCTGCAAATGGCCTGCCATACTAAGTATTTATTGGAAACTTCGACTTCTTCTTCGCACAGAAATATTCGGCAACTCCATTTCTTTTCATGGCAGTGTAAAAACTCAAACCTGGTAGCTGCTTAAAATCTTCTACGACATACGTTTCGTCATCCATTCCCAACTAACAATTTTAGCTGCAATCCAGCTTATACAGTTAAAAATTGCCTTATGCAACTATGTTTTGCCTTCATCTGGTCTGCAGCTAAAATTGTTTGCTGGGTTACTACGCAATCAAATTTTGTTAAATATTCACGATACAATTGACGGGCTCGTGATGTATCCGTTGTTTGTTGCTTGTCGTTGCGATTAGGCACAGTTTTTGCTTTGTAAGACTTCAATCCCTGTCTATGCTTTGATGCATGAACGAATGTGGATGACGTTCCGATTTTTCGAACGACGGTACGAACAGATAGGTTTGGACTTATTTCAAATATAAGCTATACCTTCACATCAATTTTGTAGTTCCTCAAACCAGATTTACCTTCAGATTTTAGCTAAATTGTGATAGTACAGCGAGTGTAAAGCGACTTCAGAACATCATGAACAGTACTCATTGGGTATCCAAGTTTCTTTGCAAGCTGCCCGATTGATAAGTCTGGATTTTTATTTCGACTGAACACAATCGCAATCGTATACAGAAAAAAAAATCCGAATTTTAACTATCGCGTAAAATCTCCCTTCGTTTAATTTTGAGCTATACTTGGCATAATCAGCAAAATTATTTACAAGCTTGCATACAATATTGGTAATTTATGCGATACTGTCCTTAAATTAACACGAAATATCGCGAAAATTTATGCCAAATCTAGCGTTAATTTTATGTGCGCTATATCTCGCAGAAATTTACATGAATTTTATTATTATTATTATTTAGCTTTATTTAGGAGGCTTTCAGCCTTAGGCTGGTTCGCCTCCAATACCTGAATTTTTCGAACGGTGTAGCAACTAACATACGGATAGAAAAAAAACAGACATATGTCCACCAGAGAATATGTACATTACATTGGTATTGATAATGTTTCTCGGGTCATACTAGTAAATGTGTGTCTGGATATTTTTTTTTATAATTACTTTATTTGTACAGGCTCAATCGAATAAACTTTACAGAGCCGAGTTATCCTTTGCGTTATACATGATTACTGTCTTAAATTTAAAGTTAAAGGAACTGGACCGAGTACTCGCGGTTGTCTCGAGGTTAGTGGAGATTTACAATTTTTTGGATGGGAAAAGGGAAGAAGGAGGTTTGAAATGTGGTTTTCGATACAACTATTTAATAAATCCTAAAGCATGAACTTATTTCTATTCATCTTGAACACAAACATTGAAAATAAAAACCCCCACCACGTACAAAATACAAACTAAACACAAGGTTAATCAAACTTACAATCTAAGGTTAATATCCTTAAAGTAAATATATATGAGTTTCATAAACTCCAGATCGCGTCTAGCCAAAATATCCCGAACTGGAACATTAGGTTGTCTACCTCGAGCCCGAAGGGAATCATAAAAATGTGATCTGACTCCACGATACTCCGCACAAGACCAAAGGATGTGATCAGCGTCCTGGTAACCTTGTCCACATTCACAGAGATTGCTGTCTCCCAACCCAACACGGAACAAGTGAGCGTTTAGACAATAGTGATTGGACATGAGACGAGACATCACGCGTATGAAGTCTCGACTCAAGTCCAACCCTTTGAACCATGCAAACTTCGACACCTTAGGGATAATTGAAAGTAGCCATCGTCCCAAGCTCCCTTCACTCCATTGATGTTGCCAGCTAACGAGCGACTGCTGACGATAAATAGAGAAAAATTCACTATAGGCGATTTGTCGATCATAAATGTCGCCTTCCATAGCGCCCACCTTCGCAAGTGAATCCGCCTTCTCATTACCCAAAATTGAGCAATGCGAAGGGAACCACGCGAAGGTGATGATGAAAGCGCGCACGGATAAAGCACTAAGCAGCTCTCGTATTTTCAAGAGAAAATACGAGAAGTGCTTTACCGGCCTAATGGAACGGATAGCCTCGACAGAACTGAGACTATCCGTAAAAATAAAGTAGTGGTGTGGAAGAAGTGAAGCAATAGTTTCCAAAGTGTAGTGAATTGCAGCCAGTTCAGCCACATACACAGAACAAGGAGCTTCAAGTTTTCGAGAGGGGCTATGAAATTCATTAAATACACCAAAACCAGCGGACTCCTCTATTAGAGATCCATCTGTGAAAAACGTTCTTGCAGAATCAACATGGCCAAACTTTGCAGAGTATAATGACGGAGCAATCATAGGACGATGATGCCCTGGAATTCCGCGGATTTCCTGCGTTATAGATAAATCAAAATTCACTGAATTCGCCGAAATCGGAGAAGACTACACGATTGGGAATATTTCTTAAAGGGCTGCCATCCTGTGTTAAATATGGGTAGTACAAAGTCATAAAACATGTTTGAGGATTTAGCTCCAGAAGCTTCTCAAAGTTTTCGATCACCAGTGGGTTCATTACTTCGCAACGGGTGAGGAGCCTCAGAGATAACTCTGAAAAACGGACGGATAGTGGCAACATTCCCGCCAGCACTTCGAGACTCATAGTATGAGTCGAGTGCATGCATCCTAACGCGATACGAAGACAACGATACTGGATCCGTTCCAGTTTGATGATGTGCGTTTTAGCTGCCGACTGGAAGCAAACACTACCATATTCTAGAACCGATAAAATCGTTGTCCGGTACAACGTCAGAAGATCTTGTGGATGGGCTCCCCACCACGTTCCGGTAATTGATCGAAGGAAATTGATCCTTAGTTGACATTTTCGTCTCAGATACTCAATGTGGGATCTCCAGGTGCATTTGGAATCGAACCAGACCCCGAGATATTTAAAAGACATGGAATGAGTGATCGGTTTACCCAAAAGTTGAAGCTTCGGTTGTGCTGGGCTATGCTTCCTAGAAAAAAACGACCAACTCAGTTTTCTCCGTGGAGAATTCGATACCTAGCTGAATAGCCCAAGTAGACAAATTGTCCAAGGTATCCTGTAAGGGTCCTTGCAGGTCAACCTCTTTTGGCCCTGTGATAGACACTACGCCGTCATCTGCAAGTTGTCTCAACGTGCAATTGTCACTAAGACAATTGTCAATTTCTCTAACGTAGAAATTGTACAAAAGGGGGCTTAAACATGAGCCTTGGGGGAGACCCATGTAGCTAAATCGAAAAGCTGTAGAGTTTCCATGAGAAAAGCTCATATGTTTTTCTGACAGCAAATTGTACAAAAAATTATTAATTAATGGAGACAATCCACAAACGTGGAATTTCTCTGAAAGAACTTCAACGGATACTGAATCAAAAGCCCCCTTGATATCCAAGAACACAGAAGCCATTTGCTCTTTCTTAGCAAAAGCCAACTGAATTTCCGAGGAAAGCAACGCGAGACAGTCGTTCGTTCCCTTACCCAAATTGAGTATCTGAAAGAAGGTGGTTCGTCTCAACCCATTTGTCGAGGCGAAAAAGGATCATTTTCTCCATCAATTTTCGAATACACGACAGCATCGCGATGGGCCGATACGAATTGTGATCCGACGCGGGTTTATCAGGCTTTTTAATGGCTATCAACCTCACTCGTCTCCAATCGTCGGCAACAATATTGAGCTCCAAGAACTGATTGTACAAGTTCAAAATGCGCCCCTTAGCGACGTATGGGAGGTTTTTCAGCAAGTTTAACTTGATTCTATCAGATCCCGGGGCAGAATTGCCACACGAAAGGAGAGCGAGTGAAAGTTCCACCATTGAAAAAGGCTGACTGATTTCGTCTACCGAATTCGCGGTTTCGCGAGGAATCAACTGCGACGGCACGGAATCTGGACACACTTTTCGCGCGAATTTAAGAATCCATTGATCCGAGCATTCCTCGCTTTCGTTGTTAGTAGACCGGTTACGCATTCTTCGCGCCGTACTCCAAAGCGTATTCATAGACGTTTCGCGCGACAATCCGTCTACAAACTGCCGCCAGTAACCCCGTTTTTGGCCTTGATGAGGCTCTTGAGTTCGCGTTCAAGAGATGTGTATGCGTCGAAATGCTCGCGTGTTCCGCGTTTCCGAAAAAGTTTAAACGCGTCGGACTTTTTACGGTAAACCTCCGTGCATTGTTGATCCCACCAGAGCGATGGTGTTTTCTTACGAATAGACGATCGCGGCACCGGTCGTGTTTGAGCTTGAAGTGCGCTGTCGACGATGAGATTAGAGAGGAAATTATATTCCTCCAACGGCGGAAGCTCTTCCACTGACGATACTGTATCGTCTATCGCGGATTGGAACTTAGTCCAATCGATGTTACG